TCTTCTAATTCTAACTGTTCTCTTGTTTTAAAACTTGGTTCACCCTCTTCAAAATTTAATAAATCTTTATATTTTAACCACTTCCTTTCTCCCACATTTTCTCTTCTAGTAAATGCTTCCTGAGGTGACAACCACAAAGGTATATTAGTTTCTCCCACATTTTTAATTGACAGCTTGTTTTGCACCCATGACTAGCGAATGTTCAGTGTGTTTGATATAAAAGCTTTACAAACCCACCCCCTGGCACAGACATACCATGGCTGAACATTGCATACATACTTGGTGTCCATCCCAGGGAGCCTTGCATGTTTACTCCTGTATGTATTTACCTTTAATAAAGCTTGTGAAGATCACACTAGCTTTCAGCTCCTCTTTCTTGGAAATCACTCATGGATATTGGCCCCTGGAGGGCATTTACATCTGCATTTACAATTGGGGAAACAGTAGATGATTAATATGATCTGGCTAAGATGCTTAATGGGTCCAAACTTTTTCCTGAATGTCTTGGAGAACTTCCTGACTTCCCTGTCACTGACACTGTTGAAGCTCTGTAAATCTGTGGAATATGGAAACAGCCCTGGCAATTGATATTGTTGTGCTTAACTCCACTTTTGCAGAGCCAAGACAATCAATTGGTTCAATGAGGAACCAAGGACAATGAAGCAGTTGGAATCACCACTTGCATGCAAATGAAGTGAATTTGGCCAAGCACAGCTAGCCCTTTGGACAGCTGTTCTGTTGTGGTAGAGGTCACAAAGAATGCTTACTTCTCTTCTTCCATTTTTGGCTAGTGTTGCTTTCCTGTCCTGTACACCACCTTCTCTTCCCCCAGGATGCTGAAGAGGTGAAACCAGAGCAGGCTGCAGGTTTCTCTGTGTAATTATTCTCTACAGATATCTTAGTGGTTTATAATAATGTGCAATGTAACCATGACAACTACTTGTTTTGTTGTTTTGGATTCTTTTCTGTTTGTAGATTCAAGTGTCTAGAGAGAAATGGGCTAATATCTGCTTTCTTGCTTCTTTCCTCTCCTGGCTGATTAAATCAGTCAAGGATGGACTGAGTTCATTAAGGACAATAATTAATGCTTTCTTGAAGGAGAGGTGTATCCTGCCTTGCTGAAAGGAAGCAGTGATAAAGCCCTTATTAGCAACATCTTTCTTTGCCGAAGAAGAACTGACAAACTAACAAGCTATCATCTGGTCTCAAATGTATCACCTCTGGTTTTGTTGATTGAGAAGATGGTAGACTTCAAGTTCTAACACATCTGGAGGATACTAATTATTTGGATCCATTCCAGTTAGGCTCTGGGATGGAACATAGGTCTGACATGACTGATAGATTTGGTGGGTGCTTTTGCTGGGAACAAAATGGGAATTGGGTGGGACAGCTCTACTTGTCATGATCCTCTTGGTGGCCTTTTGATACTATTAATCACAGTATCTTAGACTGCCTGGAGAGGCTGGGCCTTTGAAAATAACTGTTTGAGATTAGGGGGTGTTAAGGAGACAATGACGGTGTGTGATCATTTGTCACTACCTTACCTAATCATCACCTTCTTAAGTCAAACACTGATTTCTCTGGGATCACATGACTATTGTGTAAGCCTAGGAAAAGGTGTGGCTTCTTTAAGGAGCATCCAGCAAGAATACCCATGCTAGGTCTGAAGCATCACTCCCTCCAGAGCAAAATACCTTCAATTCTTTTAACAACAAGAGACTCTTCTCTTGTTCTATATCAATCTTTTACATGGACTTAAAAATCAATAAATCTCACAAGAAGCTTTGTTTAGGCTCACCTCCCAAACAATAGCTAACCTTCAAGACATTCATCCTTGGCCTCAGGAATGTTTACAGCCATCTAGACTTTTTGATGCTGCCTTTGTGTTCAACAACTTCTCCTAAACGTATCAGTGCACATAAGATGTATTCCCCACTTCCCATTCCATCCCACCCCATTTCACAGATACAGAAATTATCGGGGGGGGGGGGGAGTCTATTGAGTAAATATTACCATATTTACCAATTCTGATGAAAACTGTTGAAAGATTTGGACTCGGGGCCAGTTGCTTTTTCAAACACAATTTAAAGTGTTTGTTTTAAAGAACTAAAAATCTTAGGGCTCAGCTGAGAGACAGGGAATTCTATGCTTATTCCAAGCTAGGGAATACACTCCCTTTGGAGTTTTATTCAGTCCCATTCTTTCTGCTTTTGGGGGAAAAAGTCATGCCCCTTGGCCATTCACCAGCACTGTATGCTGATGATATACAGCTTTACATCTCAACTGCAAACCAAACAGGATATGCAGTCTAGCCCTTGCCTGGAAGCTGGATATCCTTGTCTGGAAGCTGGATCAGGACAAACAGGCTTAGGCTCAGTATGGCAAGATAAATATTTTTTGGGTGCAGAAGCCTCCTGATTCCAGGGAAATTTCACCTTCAGTTCTGGATGGGGTTGTGCTTCCCTGGACAAAAGTGGTTCTTAATCTAGGAGTTCTCCTGGATTTACAGCTTCAGCTCAAAGAGCAGGTGGCAACTGTAGCTAGGAGGGTCTTCACACAGCTCCATCTTATGCATCATTTATTACCTTTGTTGGAGCAGGAGATTCTACTCACCATTACTCAAGTTTAGGTCACCTCTCACATGGACTACTATAATGTACTATATAAAGCTTTGGTTGGTCCAGAATGCAATGGCTTGGGTAGTGATGGGTATCATTCAGTTTACCCATGTACTGCTACTGCTTTGAGAGCTGTACTACTTACCATTTTGTTTTTTGGTACAATTCAAGGTGCTTATTGGGATAGAGGTAACTTCAGGAGCACCTACTCCCAGAGAAGGTTCCCTGAAGATCCTTTCCCTGAAGGAGTATCATCTGCAGGGAGTGTGGAATAGGGTCACTTCCCTCCTTCTCTGACCCCAGGGGTCACATTGGCCTCTACCCTCCTGAGTAGTTGAAAAGCTTTTAAGATATGGATTTTCCAGCGTGCCTGTGGGGTCTGAGGAGCCTGAAATATTTCTTTGATCCCTCTTGCAGGATGGATGTTGTGCAGGATGGATGTGGCACCTGAGGTATTTTGATATATATTTCTTATGTATTTTGTTTTTGATTATATTAAGCTTGTATGCAACCTAGTAAATAAATACATAAAATACTGTAATGTGGTTAGTTTCAATTTTAATTTTTAAAATTTATTTATGACAAAGCTAAAGTCTTCCAAACAACACTGAACCAAATAGAAGGCAGTAAATAGAAGAGTTATGCAGCTTTTTGAAGGGACGCTTCACTGCAAAGAAGGTTGCCTTGAGTGAAAACTCTGAAGCTGCATCAAAAGCAAGGGAACCCTCCACCCCCACCCTACAACTACTAAGAGTAAAGCAGTTGCATAAGTGTAGCTTTCTTTGGCCTTTCTCCAAAGTCCTTGACTGAACAGTTCCAGAGTCAGAAGAGGCTTTTGAGTGACTGCCAGTTAAGGTTTCAAGGCAAGGCAAAATTCTCTTCAAGGAGAACTCAACAGGAACCGTGTCCCTTTGACATCATGAAATGCCTCATCTAGCCTTAATCTAGAGAATCTACGAAGTGATACACCACTGGGCAAATAGTGAAACTCATTATTTCTGTTGGGTAAAGCCGAGCTATTTCACAGAACGGGTAGAAAAAATCTTTTCAACAAGACTGCGACCAAAACGTCTTCCTTCTTCAGTGGACATGGCTCCTTTCCATAACAGCAGTAGAATATTCCCTGCACACACACATACAAAATAATGTATTTATCTCCTTTTCACTTCAGTGGAATCTTAAAGCATTGAACACTATTTAAAAACCAAAAGATACTCATTAAAACATTTAAGAGCAAAAGAGAATTGAAGCAACAGTATTAGCTGTTAAAGACAATACTAATTATCCTGTGAGAAGTACTTGTGGAAAACATTACATTCCATGCCAAGTTAATTAAAGATATAACATACAGACACATACCAACATACACACAGAAAGGAATGGGCCTATGGCTTTGATTTGGGGAACATTTGTTTTGATATAATTGTACATCACATACCTATCAAGCCCAGCTGATGCTGCAGGTCTCATTATTTATAATTATGTTTCTAATTTTGAACTTGCAAAAAGAGGAAATAAGAATGGCAAATTTACATTTTACTTCCCAGAACTCCTATCTGATATCAGTTACTAACAGTCAGCAGGGCAGTACTCTTCCGAGTCGATCTCCAAAAGGTGCTTTGGAGCATGTGAGAATGCAAACACAGCAGTGTCTGCCACATCTGAAAGCAGCTAAAAACAGGTGTGACAACAGGGGGAAAGGGTGATTCTGCCTCCCCAGATGTAATTTCAGTTTTCAAATTCCTACCATTTCAGTAGGGTAACCTCAGGTTTTAAAAATACAGCTTAAACATCCAGAGAGAGGATGGAGCCAAGATCTATGGAGTAGAATAGTTTACCAATTCTACTGTAAAAGCTTTTACATGATAACTTCCTAGATTCACCCCAGTTAATTGCTGGGGGTGCAAAGAAAGCTGATATATCCAAGGCCATTGAGAGAGCCAGTAAAACTAGCAGGAGTGTACTCTCCACCCTTAATCTATTTTTCAGTGTAAATTATTCACCAGGGCATAATTAATACGTAAGACAACAAGGAATATTGCTGGGGGGGGGGTATTTATTCCAGAGTTTTCATCCATGTCATGTAGAGGGTTGCTATCTTCTGACAGAAAGAAGTTTTGTAAGGAAGATGGATAGATCCAGCTATCTACACTTCACATCCACTCATTTAAAGAAGAAACTCCTTTAACAGGAAACACTTTTAACAATTTAAACTTTGTTAAGATTAATTTCACCAGGATAAAGTCTGAGGTCCTAAATGAGATTTGGGTGGATTCTATCTTTTCCTGTAGAATACTAGAATGATGACTAAGTAAAGCAGCTAGGATTGTTACTTTTAACCTCAGCTTATCCTAGTTCTTTTTTTCTATTATATTATACATGGGTATCTGGGGGAGGGGGAAGTGATAAAGTAACATATCCTTTGCCTTTTGTGTATTTGCATGAAATCTTACAATGCAAATACAAAAGGTTGAGCTTCCATTGTGACATCACAAGTCAGATTACTTTGGTATTATTGTGGATAACTGCCGATACCTATGTCAAACTCTGCCCCTTATGTCCTTGTGTGAAACATGTACAAAAGATGGAGCTTCTATAATGATGTCATAATGTCCCTTTCATCATTTTGCCATCATCATCACTAGCTGAGAATAATGTTATATATATTGCTATCTATCTATCTATCTATCTATCTATCTATCTATCTATCTATCTATCTTGCAATGAGAATGAGGCATTTGGCTTACTGAATGTATTTATTTAATCAGTTTCTACTTGATTTTTCAAAGATGGACCAAGTACTTTGGTTTAGGCTACTCAGGGCTTTGTAGACAAATGGTGGTATTTTAAATTATATTTGGAAACAAACTGGAAAACAACAGATGTCTTTTAAATGAGTAACTGCAAAAGATAATTGTCATCATTGTAGTTCCTAGTTAGAAACCTTCTAAATCTCTTGATGCTTTTCAAAGCATTTACACAATGAATTTTGGTAGGATACATTGCATGATACTAAGGAAGGGACAACACTAGAAATAACATGTTTTATCACAGGATGGCACATAGCTACCCCATAAGCCAAAACTAGTGAAATAGGCTTTGTGTTCATGGAGACCAGCTGGGCTTCCACAGAGCTAATTCCAGTTATGCCTACCAAACCATCATAGCTTCTTCTCATATTTGCTCAGGAATCAGGAAAGCACTTTCTGAACATTGCTCACAAGATTTCCTTGTCGGTATTTGCACAAACCCTTGACTTTGGCTAATTTCAGAAACTAAGCAGTGTTACCATTAGTTAGTAGATGATGAAGGATCATCTGGATGTTCCAGAGCTGTTTGCTAGGCTGGGAAGTTGGGGGGAAAAAACCAAAAAACGTTCATAACAGTGCCCAAAACCTGCAGGTATACAGTCACCAGGAATCAAGTTCAACTCAGGACATTTTGGGTTTTTTTTTTTTTTTTTACCTTTTATTTAGATTCTGTCCTTATAGCCCTATTGTATAGCAAATATACAGTATATAATTCTTTCTTCCAAGAATTCTGGGAATCCTAGTTTAAATGGGATGTTGACAACTGTCCCCTCAGAGATTCTTAATCCACTCCCAAGCTTCAATTCCCAGATTTTGATTAGGCTATTTTTTACTGCTTGATTGTCTAGTGATAATCTTGTCTACTTATCTCAGTGATGATTGCTAGTGAGGAGGTATTCTGGTCTTTTTTTTTTCCTTTTTATTGCCTCTTTTGAATAGTATCACCCAGATAAGCAGAGATTAACACCAAGATTATCATCAGACAATCAAGCAGTAAGCAATACCCTAACAGAGGAACTACCAGGAAGGGAAAAAAACCACAAAAACCCACCCCCACCAACACTGGCAGGGCATGCCACAGTATATTGTATAAACTGAGAGCAAACCCCATCCCATTCTAGCACTGAAGATGTTACCTAGCCGGGTAACGAAACATTTGCAGGAAAACAACCAAATTCAGAGAACCCCAAGAACTCCACAATTCAACCCTCAGCTACATATATTCTCCTGTATTGGTTTCCTTTGTTTTTTTTAGGTAATGTTTATATAATTTAAATGAATACATATGTGTAATTACTTTAAAAGGCTTTCTTGTAAAATGGATTGCCTGAAGCACTAGAGTAGGATGGGAAAATCTGACAACTGGACCGATGTTTGATTTGCAACATCTATATCTGGTTATAGAAAATGGGACTGTAATCCATCATATCTAGAAAACAGCATTGCAAAGGTAGAAGGAAGACATTGGGCTCATCCCACCAAACTAAATAAATACATAGACACATATTAACAACTCCAGGCCCCTCCACGCTCAGCATTTTATTGATCTGGCATTGACATGACTGCAGCACAGCTCCAACTGAAAACCTTGTATTTTGCAATTTGTGACCTTAGAGAGTCACAGGAGTTGGAGACAGGCTGTTCTCCCATTTGTGGGAATTTTCATTTCACTCCAACCCATCCTGCATGAACTAAAGCTTGCTAGCAGATTTCACAAGAAATCTGATCAAGCAGTCTTAACCCTTCTAGCTAGTTTTTAATCAGCTTCACAATCTTTGTAAAAATCATACCAGGCTTAAATTTTTCTGCTTATATAGACAGTATGTGTGCAATACTTGCCTCCCCTTGACTCCCAGTCACTGGGCTCAAATGAGCATTAACATACACCCATATACATAAAGGGTACATATTGTAATCTACAATGATGCTTGCAGTTCTTAGACAAAGTGTCTGGATGCAAAACTATGATATCATGTCATCTTCACAATTTTCAATGGGAATTTATATGCAGAAAGAATGATGCTTTGACAACCAGGTGCCTCTTTTTTTTCACACACCCCTAGATCAAACTTTTTACAAAATATGTACTGAAAGCTGCAGGAGGAGGACACTAGGAATTTTTTTCCCTTCCTGCCTAGGTTGGGAACATTTGTTATTCCAGGGACTTCCTTAGTTCAGGGGGAATAGCACAGCCTTAATGACAATTTTACAATCTCCCATTGGCTGCTGGAGGGAGAATTCATTGGCTCATGGTGTTCTCTGACTGCTCTTGGGGTTCCAAGATTGGCCAGAGTGAAGACAATCAAACAATTGGCTTCAAAATACTTTAGAGGGATCAGGGAGCAGAAACAGTGCCACATGGAAGTGTCTTCTGTAGGTCTGTAATTAAATATGGACCATGTGTTGGTCTCAAACTCCTACCTGTATTCTTATTTGTGGCATGAATAATCTCAAGAAGAAATAGCACTTTATTCTGCAGAAGAGTGAAGTCATGAATGAAGGGTACTTTGTCTCCTTCCAAAAGTATTCGAGGTGGTAATCCAGTCTGGAAATGATTTATAACATTAAGATTTGTAGGAAAATGCATGGCTGCAAGGAAATGAACCACAGTAGACCAAGCCTCTCCAAAACTGCTTTCAGGTCCATTGAGGTACGGGAGTCTGAAATGTAAGAAGGGAAAAGGAGGTCATGAATATTTGTATAATATTTATTGTGTTTTGGAATCAGATAGGAGAGAGGTTGCTGAGACATTTTTAATTGTAATTGACTTGCAGCTCCCTGGCCAGACAGTGCTTCAGAATAACACAGTAATCATACATGTGATAAACCTCAACCAGTCAAACATACATTCTTCCTACAGTATGGTGAGCAGTCAGATAGCATAATTGCTCATAGTTGTGCCTAACTATAAATATGTCCAGTGGACTTCCAAGATCCTCCCACTGATATCAGTAATTGTTGAACTGTTATGTCATCTACTATCAGCCCCACTAGGTAGACCAGACCAGGAAATCAACTCCACAGGAAGACTAAAATTACTTTTATTGAGATTGGCTATAATAGCAGGATCTTGCAAACCTGATTGTACCTCCTCCTCCTTCTTATACTCCAGTGAATTAGGGAAGTGTTTGCCCCAGCCACTTCTGAATGTTATCTCACCATTGTGAACTTAAGAAATGCTTCAGCCCCTTTTGCCTAGACAACAGATCCTGCCTCAAGGTCATTTTCCTTACTCCCTACATCTACCAACAGCTTCTACTTGCTACTAACCAGAGGAAAAAGCTAAAACAACTCATGTTGCTGTCTGGTTAAGGAGGCTGAAAGAAACTGTGGGCAGAACACAGGATAATCCTTCCACAATCCAGAAGCAATCGTGCCTGTTCAGAGTTATCTATTTGCTATGATAGGGCTACTGCATTTTAAGAAAGATCTAAGGAAGATTGAGAAGAAAGGTGTCTCACACCAGCACTTCTCAGGATGCTTGTGATAAGCTTACCTTTTTTTAAACTTTGGAAATGCAAAATCAATGGAGAGACAATGAGCTTTCCATATGTAACTTAGGGCTTTGTCTTCTGAGAAAAGAAGACTTGTAGTTGTTTCAGAGTTTGGTGCAGTAGATAGGAGATACTAAAAATAAATATATAGAAAAATAAGTAGATGTAGATATAGATAGGATAAATAAAACAATTCAGTTACTCATAAAAGTTATGCAACCATGCCCATATATAGATATAATAAGTCTCTGCTTACTTCAAACTTTCTTGAAAATGAAGACACATGTGGGTGTATGTTGACTTTTCAGTCTTGCCTATTGCTTTGGAATTCCCTGGAGGTCTCCCATCCAATTATTAACCAGGCCTGACCCTATGAAGCACTACCCTCTTCGTCAAGGAAGCCAATACCAATACCAGCGTGGACCCAACCACAGGTCATTTCACTGTCTGTTTTTGCAACCCAGGAGGGTATCGGATCCAATAAACAGGTGGCCGAGCTGACGGTACAGAGAACCCTGTCTGCTTCCTCAGGAGTCACTGGCTCAAACTCACCCCAGATCACATGACCAGACTGTGCCCCAGGCACCATCCTCCAACAACGGTTGAGACTCCAGGCATCCCCAAGGATTTGCAACATGCTAGAGAGCTAGTTAAGTATCACAGTGGCCTCCCAGCTCTCCCCCCTCAATGTCAGAGGGTACCCAACACAGCCACAGTTGTTACAGGGACAAAACACAGTTGTCACAAACAAAAAACAATATCCACACCAAGCTCCTTCAACAAACTGTCCATCCACTCGTCATCTGTCTTTCTCATAACCTGGCCCAGTGCTATGTTGAGCTTTATAGGTGACAAGTACATTACATTGCATCTAGAAGTTCACCAAGAGCCAGTGCTGTTCATGGAGCAATAGAGTTACACAGTTGCATCTTAACAACCCAACACTGCCCATGCTGTTGCATTCTGGACCAGTTGCAGCTCCTGAATACTTTTCAAGGGGAGTTCCATGGACAGCACATTACAAAAGTCCGAACAGGAGGTGACTAAGGTGTGAGTGATTATGAATAAGGACTGGCAATCCAGAAACAGATACAATTGGTACACAAGGTGTATTTGTTCAAAGACCTTCCTAGAAACAGCTGCTACCTGCTCCTTGGGTAGGAGTTGTGAGTCTAGGATGATCATCAAATTACACACAAACTCTGTCTGAGGGCACGTGAGGCCATTCACACACCAACAGATGACCCCACACTGCAGCTTCATGTAGATTTTAAATAGGAGTAGGAAGAAAATAGAGCCCAATGGTATCCTGTAAAGCAGGGATCTAGAACTAGACCTCTCCCCTGTCCAACAGTAGCTCAAACTGGCCCTGGTGAAAGGAGGAGAACTGCCATGCTTCCCAAACCCCTGAGCCAGTCCAGAAGGATACCATAACTGATAATACTGAAAGTTGCTGAGACATCAAGAAGAACCAGGATGGAGGTACTCCCCTTGCCACCCCCACCCCCCCAGGTCCTGCCAAAGTTCATTAACTGTGATCAGTGCTATAGCCAGGTTTGAAACCCAAATGAAAGGGTTCCAAATAATCTTTTTCCTTCAGGGCCCTCTGGAGCTGCAAGCTGACCACTCTCCCTACAACCTTTCTTTAAAAAAGGGAAGGTTGAAAACTCATCAAAAATTGTCTAGTTCCATTGGATCCAGTGACAGCTTCTTGAGAAGAGGCCAGACCACCCCCTCTCTCAAGGAAGCACTAATCATTGCATGGATTCAACCACACATCATCTTCTGGGAAGCTTTAACCAATCATGAAGGACATGGATCTGAAACACAGATGGCTGAACCCACAGCTCCAAGGACTTGTCCACTTCACTAGGATTAACAGGCTCAAATTCCTCCCAGATAACTAAACAAGATTGTGTCTCAAGCAACTCCAAAAGACTTTGTCTTTGGCTAGGCCATTTGTTTGTCTTGACCTCCCCTAGCTTTTAGAGTGTAAGCCCTGGCACATTACTCAAAGGTTAGTTCATACACAGAGGTCTATCTTTGCCCCCAAATATGAAGAAAAGAAAGCTTAGCTTTTTTCTAAAATTAGAGGTATTTCCCCCCCAATTCTCGGTATTTGCATGCATGATTTAGGGAAGAAAGAGTGTATACTAGGAAGATATCCATTTGGTTAGTAAAAAATCAGTAGATATACCTTGAAGAAATCCCTCCAGGCAGACATGACTTTTGGCATCTGGGTATTGCATTCAGCAATGCTGTGGCAGAAATCTGTACTTTGCTCATCTGGTGGTATTAGTTCTACCTCATATGGTAGCTCTCCAAAGAAGCCGCTATCCAGTGCCCCAAGAAAGGGAATAGCTGCCAGATAGTAATTCATACCTAGGGCAATTAAGAGTAGTGAATATGGTTTAGTAGGGAAAAAAAAATCTAGTCAAAGCAAAATAAGCTTAATGGAAAAAATACAGGTAGTCTTCGTTTAGTGACCACAACTGGGACCGGCAACACGGTTGCTAAATGAAGTGGTCACTAAGTGAAACCATGACTGTGCTTATGATCTCACTTCAGTTTTTCTTTGCTTTACTGACCTGCAAAGGCAATAAATGTGAGGATTGGTCATAAAGTTACTTTTTCATCACTACTGTAATTGTGAACAGTCGCTAAACGGGGCAGTCACTAAACAAGGACTATCTGTATGGGCCTCTACCAAGACCCAATTTGTTCAAATACATGTCTAGGGGACTGCACCCAGACAACTGTAGTGTGGCCTGATTTACACAGAAATAATTTTTATGGGGAAAAAAAGAGTCAAGTAAAAATGCATGTAACTGATTCCTGAATAATAGGACAACATAATATCTGATTAACTTTAATTGTTAGAATGTTAAAAGGTTCTTAAAGTTTAACTGGGATCCCACATGGCTTTTTGAGAAATCTTCAGCTGCGAGCATTATTTGTGTACAACTCTAATGTCATTGAAGACTAACCATTAACCAGGATTCATATCACAACTCAATGTTAATTATTAAACATGGCTGTAATTGCTTTTATGTATCAGTCTTGCTGGGAGATAATTATGTGATTATCAGAGTACCTTCTGGACAATTCCTATGGAACTATTAGATAAGACACATTTTAAAATCAGTCATTTTTTATATGTTTGGCAATATTTTATTTTTTCTGAAATAGTTTCTTTTTTCCTGACATTGCGACTTTACATTAAATTTCACACTTTGTCTATTCTAATTTCCATCATTTCAGACATTCAGGTATTTGAGAAAAAGTTCCACAGAAAAAGTCTACAGTATAACATAGTAATTAGCGAGAGTACTTCTACAATGTTACTCAGTCTGTGAATCTTTATGAGGCCACACAATCCTACAGAAGAACATGAGAAGTATGTAGTTTTGCAGAGAAGATGCTGTAAAAATGAAACCTGAAAATGGGAGGTGACTTCTTTGTATGGAATACTTCCATAAAAGCAGTTAGCAGATGTACCACTGACAGTTCATCTGTCCAAGGACAGTCATTTCAGGTTCTGAAAGCTTACGGTAGAGGAAGGATTTCTACTGACCAATTCTATAAGGTTTGGTACTGCTCATGGTGGAGCCCTCCAAATATTAGCACTCAGCAAATCTTACTACTGTTAGAAGACATCAAAACAAATGAAGAATTCATAGCTTGGTGCAATTGGTTTTACGTGTTAGAAGCTTTCTCCATTAAGTATAAAAACAAGTAATTCCTAAGCAAGAATATATACTTACAAGCCCACCAGCTGAATACAGATACACACAGATTGTCTCCATCCATATGGCCGCACCCTGTAGCATTTAAGGGATCTGCTAATCTGCCTGGAAGAAAATGAAATAAAGTATTGTACCTCCTTGGATTTTTAGAAGTGTCAAGATTGACCCAGCCTTTTGTGAGGAGAATATAAGTAGTGCTGGTCAGCAGACTGTTTTATCTTGACTGCTTTTATTTATTCATTCATTCATCAAATTTATAAGGCTGCCCATCTCATGAAAAAGTGACTCTGGGCAGTGTATGATAAAACTATAAAACAGTTAACATATAAAAAAAACAATTATTATTCAGAAAAAAATTAAAAATCACAATTAAAGGCTAAGAGAGGGCAGCAGATGCCAACAATGGAGGCACCTCGATACCTCATCAGTCCCCTGGGGCCCCCATGCCTGATGGCATAACCAGGTTTTGAGGGGCTTCTGGCAAATCAACAGGGGTGGAGCCAATCTCACTTCAGGGGGGAGGATGTTCCATAAGGCGGGCACCACAGCAGAGAAGGCCTGCCTCCTGAGTCCCACCAACTGTAGCTCCCAAGCAGATGGAACCCGTAGCATGTCTCTTCTGCCAGCCTGATGGGATGGGCAGATATCGGGGAGACGCAGTCATTCATATAACCCGGCCCCATGCCATGAAGGGCTTAAGTCAAAACTAGCACCTTGAATTGGAACCAGAAGCAGACTGGCAACCAATGCAGCTTGCAGAACAGAGGTGTAATGTGTGTTGTTCTAGAGGCACACATAACCACTTGCACCGCTGCATGTTGCACCAGCTGAAGCTTCCAGATACTCTTCAAGGACAGCTCCATGTAGAGCTTATTACAGTAATCCAATTGGGAAATGGCCCTGAGCAGAGCCCCATAATCTAGGAATGGGTGCAACTAGCGCACAATACGAAGCTGTGGAAAGGTCCTCCTAGCCATGACTGCCACCTGCTCTTCAAGCAGGAGTCATGAGTCCAGGAGGACCCACAAGTTGTGTACTGGGTCTGCTTGGGGCAGTGCAACCCCGTCCAACATCAAAAATGGCAGAGTCCTAGAACTGGCAGGCCACTCAGTATTGTCAGGATTCAGCTGAAGCCTGTTGTTCCCCATCCAGACCCTCACAACCTCCAGGCAGTGGGATAAGAAATCCACGGCATTGTTTAATTTGTCAGGGCCAAAGAAGTATAACTGGGTATCATCACAGCAGATGGTGACAGATGAGCTCACCCAGCGGCCTCACTTAGATGTTGAATAGGAGCAGAGAGTGCACTGAACCCTGCAGCACCCCACACAATAGGGGCTGAGGGTGGGATCTCTTCCCCACAATCACAATCCACTGGAATCAACCCTGGAGAAAGGAGGTGAACCAGCACAACACATTGCCACCCACCCCCAATCCTCTGATCCGATCCAGAAGGATACCATGGTTGATGGTATCAAAAGCCACAGAGAGGTCAAGTAGACAAGGATGGGTATACATTGGTCATCCAAAAGCATGACCAATCCTGTTTCCATCCCATACCTGGGACTGAATCCTGACTGAAAGGGATCCAGATAATCTGCTTCATCCAAGGTCATCTGAAGCTTCTATGCAACCACCTTCTCAACCACCTTCCCCAAAAAGGGAAGGTTAGATACTGGATGAAAATTGTCCAGTATAGTGGGGTCCAGCGATGGCTTCTTGAGGAGGGAATGAACAAGTCCTTCTTAAGAGGTAAAGGAACAACCCCCTTACTCAAAGAAGAATTCACCGCCATTAGAACCCCTCACATGACACCCTCCTGGCTGCTTTAATAACCTAGGAGGGGCATGGATCTAAAGAGCACGTGGCTGAGCTCACAGTCCTAAGGACCCTGTCCACTTTCTCAGACTCAACAGGTTCAAACCATTCCCAGATAACTGGGCAAAACTCCTCCCTAGGCATCTCCTCCAGACCTGCAACAAGGCTAGCATCCAATTTGAGCGACTTTGTCTGACAGATGCTGAAAAATTCTTCTGTATGCCTCTGCAAGGGGTTCTCTGAGCCCTCTTAACCAAGAGGGCACGTGTCACCCAAAACAGGGCTGCAGGATGGCTATCCACAGATGCAATAACAGCAGAGAAATACTGATGCTTTGCTGCCCTTACCACCACAAGGTAGGCCTTAATAGCGGTTTTAACCCATGTTCAGTCTAGTTCATTCTCTGTTGAATGCCAGAGATGCTCTAGACATCTCTTTTCTCATTTCATCTCCCTCTACTCTTCCATGAACCATGGGGAGTGACAGAATCCATGAGAGGGGAGAGGTCACATAGGCATGATCTGATCCAAAGCCTCAGCCACCCACCATTCCAAGCAGCGACCAGAGCTTCAGATGGATGGTACAATGGACCAGTTGGAAAAGCCCCCAGCTTCCTCTGAAACCCATTTGGGTCCATCAGTCACCAGAGGTGGACTGATCTAATGGGTCTAGCCTGCCTGCAGTGAATAGAAGAAGAATGCACTGCACTGAAGAATCCCATGCTAATTAGGGCATGATATGACCATGACAAGGGAGACACAAAGAGCTCCTCCAATTTCAGAACATACCGTTGCTGTTCTGACAGGAACACCAGATCCAGTGTGTGTCCACGGTCCCGTGTTGGGCTCTGGATGACCTGGGATAGGCCCATGGCTGTAATCGTGGCCATGAACTCCTGAGCCACCTCCGGCTCCACTCCCAGAGAAGGCAGACTGAAGTCCCTCAAGACCGTAAGTCTGGGGAACTCCACTGCCAACCCAGAAATGGAATCAAAAAGCTCAGGCAGGGAGGTTGCGATGCAGCAGGGAGGCAACCTTCCCAACTGATCCCTAGAGCCCAACTCAATGAGTAGGGTCTCACATTTGGTAACCTGTGGTGCAGCATTCCTGAAAGACGTAAGGGATTCCCAGATGATGACTGCCACTCCTCCACCCCTGTCCTGGAATCTCCGCCAATGCCGCACCCAAAACCCAGCTGGGCATATCTCTGAAAGGGCCACTCCCCCTCCCACTTCCAGACCCAGCCAGGTCTCGGTGATACATGCCAGGTCATCCCTCTCATTGATGATTAAATCATAAATGAGGGAGGTCTTATTACAGACCGACCTGGCATTTAGAAGCAGCAGCTGAAAGCTAGGGCCTCTGAAGGTATGCTGACTGGGTACAGGGGCTGAGGCCAAGGAGCTGGAATGCCAAACCGGGATAACTGTTAGTGAAGAAATATAGCATTGTGGTTATAGTTCTCAGTGAGGAGCTACTTTTAGTTTGCTCTTTTCAATATTTTAAACATGCTGCAGTCAACAGCATTTAAATGACATGCATGGAAAGTAAAGAAAACCTGTTTATTGACCTAAGATGTGTATGTGTATAATACGTTTGCCTATAGCATATCAGAAAATACTGATTTCTTTAGCCGACAATGAGAATAAGCAACCTTGATGGCTTAAAAAGTATTCAGAGAGAGTACCAGATAAAAGATTCTTATTGGCTGCAGTCTTAAGATTCATATTATTGTCCTACACCGTATATTACAGGCATTTTCATACAACTCTAGCTAACAAATAGTGATATATGGGCTTCACAACATACTATTATTTCATCACGATGGCTATACTCTTACTGAGAGTCTTCAGATAAATGCCTTTTTAGAGAACAGCTCTAGGGTTAGAATTATTAACAACTCTAGGATGTACTTGATTATGCAATCAGCTGCTACACTGATCTTTATAAATGAGATACATGAACAGAACAAATAAATAAAAAGAATTTAGATGAGATAGCACTGGTGAAGAAACAGGAGATGCATGAAATCATATAGAACAAAGATACTGGAAGGGCAATATTAGAAAAATAGCAAAGGACAGTCATAAATGGATTAGGTGCTATGGAAAAAAGATTCTTCTGATGTTGCAGTCCCAGACATATTTACTCATATAAGGTCAATAGAGGGTCAGTGTAAGGAACAGATTTAGTATACTTTAGTATACTTACATTCTGTAAAAGGGAATTGGCAAAGCTATATGAAGAGATAAGCAACACTGTGGAAACTGAAGCAGAAAAACTATTCCCAACATTTCAAAGAGGAATAGCTCCACATGGCTTTCAGAAAAAATGTTATCACAATAGCTGAAGAAAGATGGAAAATGCAACTCTCTGAAAACAAGGAGGACATATGACAACTGATTGCAGATTTCCAACAGCAAGCGAAGAAGGACAAAGAAAGGACGAAGAAAAATATGCACTAGAATGGCTATAAAAACAAGGCCTTTAGTAACACATCAATAAGCTTGAGTTTTAAATGTCTTGTGTAATATTTATCAATTTATTTTATTTGTTAAACTGTTTTATCTATTGTCAAATTTTAGGTTATATTTGTACTTCACTATTTGGCTCTTTTGGCTGTAAATAAAACTATGTATATAAGAAAGATACCTCAACCAAGGAAGTTAGAAAATAGAGGGATATAACAAGAAAACAAGAATCAAAATTGGAGGCTAAAATTTTAACCATGTGAGATATGCAAATAATACAACTTTGTTAGGTGAAAGTAAAGAAAATTTAAAAGAGCTCATTAAAAAAGCAAAAACTGGAAATTGACAAATCTGGGTTAATCTTAAATTATAACACAAAGGTAAAGTAACATGCAAGCTTAGTGAATTTACAATTGGCTGTTAAAAATAGAAGGTGATAGTTTTATTGTCTTGGGTTCAAGAATATCATGTATTGGAGAAATAAAGAAGAGATTAATTCTAGACAAAAAGACAATGAGTAACAAAGTCATGAAGGATAAGGATATTTCTTTTATAACAAAGATCAGAATAATTAAAGCAAAGGTCAATGTACTGGATCTTAGAATTATAGAGTTGTAAAGAACCACAAGGATCATCTAGTCCAATTCTGTGCTATGGAAGAAAACCATTGCAACCATCCATCAGAGGTGGCTGTCTAGTCTCTTAAAAAAATTCCAGAGATGGAGAACTCACAACTTCCATAGGTAAGGCACAGCATGAAAGCTGGATACTCTAAGAGTGAGAAAAAGAAGACAGGTCCCTTTGTATTATGGACTGGAAATAGTTACTAAGAGTATCATAGACTGCAAGCAGAACCACTCCATTAGTCCTGGACTGCATAAAGGATGGCTGCAGTGAAGATCAGCAAGCAGAAACCTACATACTTTGGGTATGTAATGGAAGTGACTGAAGGACTAGAAAAAATGATTATGATCTGAGTGCATTTATTTCTTGTTAAATTTGCATTTGAAGAAACACATTGCAAAATTGGCTGGACCAATTCTGCCAGGTGGTGGTGATAGTCTTTGTATCTTTTGTGATCAGTTTATAAATTCTGTTACAGACACACAGATCCATTTTTGTTCTATATCTATCTGAATAATTTGTGTCCCAATTGCACAAATGCAAGATGGGTCAGTTAAAATATCATAAATATAAAATATATTAAAAGCAACCAATTTAAAACATCAGAGGCATATCTCTGAAAGGGCC